ATGTTCTCTTTCAACACTTATTCAACATAGTATTGGAAGTCCTGGCCACAGCAGACAAAAAAGAAATAAATAAAAGGCATCCAAATTGGCAAAGAAGATGTAAAACTGTCATTATTGCACATGACATGATACTATATAGAAAGAACCCTAAAGATTCCACAAAAAAACCCCTATTAGAACTGATAAACAAATTCAGTAAAGTAGCAGGATATAAAATTAGTATTCTGAAATCAGTGGTATTTTTATACACCAATGAGTTATCAGAAAACAAAAATAAGAAAGTAATCCCATTTACAATTGTATAAAAAAAATACCCTGGAATAAATTTAACCAAAGAGGTAAAAGTCTGGTACTTGAAAAATTGTAAGACATTGAAGAAAGAAATTGATGAAAATACAAGTCAATGAAAGCATGTACAGTGATCATGCATAACAAGAATTAACATCATTAAAATGTCCATAATATCCAAGGCAATTTGTAGATGCAATGCAATCCCTATCAAAATACCAATGGAATTTTTCATAGAACTAGAACAAATAATCTTAAAATTTATATGGAACCAAAAAAATCCCTGAATTGCCATAGCAATCTTGGAAAGAAAAACAAAATTAGAGATACCACAATACCTGACATCAAACTATGCTACAAGTCTATAGTAATCAAAACAGCATGGTACTGGCATAAAAACAGATATATAGATCAATGGAAAAGAGTAGACGGCCCAGAAATAAACCCACATCTATACTGTTATTTAATCTAAGCAAAATAGGCAATAATATACAGTGAGATTAAGACAGTCGATTCAGTATATGGTGTTGGGAAAATTGGACAGATACATGCAAAAAGAAACAAATGAAACTAAACCACTTTCTTACATCATATACAAGAATAAACTCAAAATGGAATAAAGGTCTAATTGTAAGTACCAAAACCATAAAACTCCTAGAAGAAAACATAGGCAGTAAACTGTCTGACATTGCTCTTAGTAATATTTTTTTTCTGATATATCCCCTTGGCCAAGGAAACAAGAAATAATAAACAAATGGGATTACATCAAACTAAAAATTTTTGCACAGCAAAGGGAAGCATCAACAAAACAATAAGACAACATACTGAATGGGAGAAGATATTCTTATAATATCCAAAATTTGTAAAGAACTCATGCAACTCAATACCAAAAAAACTAACAGTCCAATTGAAAAATGGGCAGAGGGCCTGAATAGACATTTCTCCAAAGAAGACATACTGATGGCCAGTAGACATATGAAAAGGTGCTCCACATCACTTATCATTAGAGAAATGAAAAATAAAACCTTAATGAGACACATTTGTTAGAATGGCTATCATCAATAAATCAATAAACAACATGTGTTGGGGAGGATGTGGAGAAAATAGAACCCTTATGCATTGTTGATGGGATTTCAAATTGGTACAGTTACTATGAAAAACATTATGGGGTGTTCTCAAAAAAATTATAAATAGAACTACCTTCTGACCCAGCAATTCCTTTCCTGGGTATTTGTCTGGAAATATCCAAAAGACTAATTTGAATAGGTATATGCACCCCTATGTGTATTGCAGCATTATTTACAATAGCCAAGATATGGAAGCAACCTAAGTGCCTATCAATAGGCGACTGGATAAAGAGGTAGTACATATACACAATGGAATATTATTTGGCTATGAAAAAGAATAGAATCTTGCCATTTGTGACAACATGGATGGACCTGGAAAGTATTATGCTAAGTGAAATAGGTCAAACAGAAAAAGACAAATACCATATGATCTCACTCATATGTGGGATCTAAAGAACAAAATAAGTGAACAAACAAAATAGAAACAGACTCATAGCTACAGAGAATATTTTGATGGTTGCCAGATGGGAGGGGGTTTTGGTAAATGGGTGAAAAGGGGGAAGGGATTAAGAAGAATTGATTGCTGTTTACAAAATAGTCAAGGGTATGTAAAATGAAGCATAGGAAATATAGTGAATAATGTTGTATAACTGTATAGTGCCAGGTAGGTACTAAAGAGGGGAGATCACTTTGTAAATTGTATAAATGTCTAATCACTATGCTGTACACTTGAAACTAATAAAACAATATTGAATGTCAACTGTAATAAAAAAACTGTGAAAAGAAATAAATACAAATAACAGGGTGAAGAAAAACAGAAAGATGGTAAATAAACTGCTATTTCAAAAAAAATATTGTGGCATGGAGAAGATAATTGACTTGCCTAAGGCCTACATTTTGAAATACAATTTATAACAGAAATCTGAAGTAGGAACTCTTCCCACATTACCATGCATACATCTTTCTTTTTTCTTTTTTTATTAAAATTTATTGGGGTGACATGATTAGTAAAATTATACAGGTTTTAAGTGTACAATTCTGTAATACATCATCTATATATCACATTGTGCGTTCACAACTCAGTGTCAGTTCTTCCATCACCATATGTTTGACCCTGTTTATCCTCATCTACCACCTCCTTCCCTCCTTACCCTCTGGTAACTACTAAACTGTTGTCTGTGTCTATGAGTTTTTGTTTTTTTATTTGTTTTTCTTCTTCCTTTTTTGCTTTCAGCTTTATATCCCACGTATCAGTGAAATCATATGGTTCATGACTTTTTCTGTGTGACTTATTTCACTTAGCATAATTATTTCAAGTCCATCCATGTTATTTTGTCAGTGGTTTCTTTTGCTGTGCAGAAGCTTTTTAGTTTGATATAGTCCGATTCATTTATTTTAGCTTTTACTTCCCTTGCCTTTGAAGTCAAATTCATAAAATCCTCTTTGAACCTAAGGTCCATAACTAGAGTACCTATATTTTCTTTTTTTTTTTTTTAAGATTTTATTGGGAAATTGGGGGATGGGAAAGTGTTGGAGAATTGGGGGAGGGGAACAGCCAAGTTGTTGTCCTTTAGTCTTAGTTGTGGAGGGCGCAGCAAGCTCAGCTCCAAGTCCAGTCACACCACTCAGCTCAAGGTGCTGTGTTCAATTAGCTGCGGGTGACTGTAGCCACCATCCCATGCATGAGTCGAACTAGCAGCCTCGTTAAGAGCGCACGCTGTATCCCCTGAGCCACCCAGGCGGCAGCTCAGCTCAAGGTGCCAAGTTCAGTCTTTAGTTGTGGGTGGGGTAGCCCACCATCTCGAATAGGCAACCTTGTTAGGAGCACATGCTCTCACCAGCTGAGCCATCCTGCCACCTGTTGGCAGCTCAGCGGCAGTTCAGCTCAGGTGCAGCTCGGGCACAGCTCACTGGCCCATGTGGGAATCGAACTGTTGACCCTGTTGCTCAGAGCTCACACTCTTCAGCAAGCTCTTAACCAACTGAGCCACTTGGCCAGCCCTATGTTTTCTTTTATGCAGTTTATTGTTTCTGGTTCTATATTCAGGTCTTTGATTGATTTTGAGTTAATTTTAGTACATGGCGACAGATAGCAGTCTAATTTCATTGTTTTGCATGTGGCTTTCCAATGATCCCAGCACCATTTATTGAAAAGGCTGTCTTTTCTCCACTGTACATTTTTGGCTTTTTTATCAAAAATTATCTGTCCATATTTATGTGGGTTTATTTCTGGGATCTCAATTCTAGTCCATCAGCCTGTGTGTCTGTTTTTCTGCCAATACCTTACTGTTTTGATTATTGTTGTCCTGTAATACAAGCTGAAGTGAGGGAGTATAATACCTCCAGCACTGGTCTTTTTTCTTAGGATTACTTTGGCTATTCGGGTCTTTTGTGGTTCTGTACAAATCTGATGATTTTTCTTCTATTTATTTAAAAAATGCCACTGGGTTTTGATGGGGATTGCATTAAATCTGTATATTGCTTCAACCAAATGGGAGAAGATTTTTGCAAATGACAACTCCAATAAGGGGCTAATATCCAAAATACATAAGGAACTCTTACAACTCAACAACAACAAAAAATAAACAAACAATCCCATTAAAAAATGGGCAGATGACCTCAATAGACACCTCTCCAAATAAGACATACCGGTGGCCAATATACATATGAACAGATGCTCAACACCACTAATCATCAGAGAAAAGCAAATAAGAACCACAATGAGATATCACCTTATACCTGTTGGAATGGCTATCATCAATAAGACAAATAATAACAAGTGTTGAAGAGACTCTGGAGAAAAAGGAACCCCCATACACTGTTGGTGGGAATGCAGATTGGTGCAGCTGCTAGGGAAGGCAGTGTGATGTTCCTCAATAAATTGAGAATAGAATTACCATATGACCCAGCAATCCCTCTCCTGGTTATATACCAAAAAAATCTGAAAACGTTTATCCGTTAAAATACATGTACTCCAGTGTTCATTGCAGCTTTATTTACAGTGGCCAAGACAGAGAAACAACCAAAGTGTCCTTCGATAGATGATTGGATAAAGAAGATGTGAATATACAATGGAATACTATTCTGCCATAAGAAAAGATGAAATAGTACCATTTGCAACAACATGAATGGATCTTGAGATTATTATGCTAAGTGAAATAAGTCAGATAGAAAAAGTTGAGAATCATATGATTTCACTCATATGTGGGATATAAAACTGAAAACAAAAGGACAACACAAACAAATGAAGAAACAAACTCATAGACACAGGCAATAGTTTAGTGGTTACCAAAAGTTAGGGGGATAGGGGGGCTGTAGATGAGGATAAAAGCAATCAAATACATAAACATGATGTTGGAAGGAGAACTGATTCTGGGCGGTGAATATACAATGTGATATATAGAAGATGTATTACAGAATTGTACACCTTAAACCTGTGTAACTTTGCTAACAATTGTCACCCTAATAAATTTAATTTTTTAAAAAAGAAAAAATATATCCACCCATGCTGTCTCAAATGGCACTATTTCATCTTTCTTATGGCAGAGTAGTATTCCACTTTGTAAACAGCTAGTCAAACTGTGGCCCCATATTCAGTGGCCGCTGAGGGAAAATAACCACCCCCTCCTTTTTTGTTTTTTTCAGACATTAGACAAGACTGCAACCAAACTGATTGACAATGATCATTACGATTCAGAGAACATCGCTGCTATCCGGGACGGAGTATGTTCAAGGGTTCATATGTGTATCTGCCTTGTCTGTGCACCAGGGTCAGGGAAAATATTGGGGCATGGTGACCAATGTGGGCAGTGAAGCTCATGTGTCCACATTTGTTTTTGCTAACAATGAGTTTGCTCACGGTTTTGCAGCTATTGGCCCGGCGGGATGTCCTACGTGAAAGGGCTGCCACTCGACGCAGGTTGCTGGAGGATTCATTACTTCTACAGAAACTGTATCAGGACTCAGAAGACCTGAAGAACTGGATCAACAAGAAAAAAAAGTTGGCAGATGATGAAGATTACAAGGTAGGCGGGGTTTTCCAGCCCTGGATGTATTCATCAGGACTTAGTTTCATGGAATTAGCCTTGGAGCTGAAAGTACCATAGAATTCAGTAGGTAAGCCTCATTTTCAGATGAGGAGACAGAGTCTCAGAGAAGGACAATGGCTCCCCTAAGGCTATATATCTAGTTAAGAGCCAAGAATCTAGTTTCTTGTCTTTCTTTAACCTGCTTTCCATCACCTCTTTTCTCTGGGATAATTTCCAATGGTCCTTAATAAAATGAGGTAAGGCAGGGACTATATTTAGTTGCTGTCTCTTTATCATGTCTTCTGCTCCCCTCTGCACCCTTATAGTTGAAAAGCACTGTGTCTAATTCTAATGTACATTCAAATTTACTGAAAGCTACTTGGAACTTAGGTTACAAAAGTAACCTAAGGGCTTGGTGTAATATAAGCTTACACAGTTTTTCACCTGGAAGAAAAAATTTCCTAATTTTATAGATCAGGAAACTAGGGATATGAATTATGAAGTCAGTTGCCTAAAGTTATCCAATTATTTACTAGACAGTTTAACATAACTGTTAGAGGCATGAATTTTGGTGAAGGGCTTGAATTTTCTCCCTCTTCTGTTTTAGTTTATCTTACTTTGGGAAATTTCTGAATTATCATTTAGTCTTAAATGTATACCACTGATCTTTTTGTTCTTATATCTTTATAGAGCTATGAGATCTACTACCTTATCTGTACCTTTTATTCTATAAAACTCAGCACTGTGTGCTTGTGTTCTGTAGAAGAATTATGGTTTCAGTGCTTTAGGGTAAACAGATTTTCTCTTTGTGGGCAAAAAAATTGGATGATATCTATACTAGAACAGGAATAAAAAATAATTTTCATCCTTCATGACAGCTCTGATTGATTGTTATTTCTCACATGAGGTGTCATAATCAAAATGATATTCATTTTATTTTGTTCTTTAGATTCCACATATAAGTGAGTTGGGGTGCCGGGTAAAGGGGTTAAGAAGTACAAATTGATAGTTATAAAATAGTCACAGGGATTGAAAGTACAACATAGAATCACTTTGTAAATTATATACATGTCTAACTACTATGCTGTATACCTGGAACTAATATAAAATAATATTGAATGTAATTAAAAAATTAAATTAAAAAAGTGATTTTCAGGCCATATCCAGGCTCAATAGAAATAAATGCAGAGTTTGATTAGCCATGTCTTCCATGGGTATAGAGGGAAGAATTGGTCAAATGAGTTTCCTAACCATTCTCTGGCTCTGTACTTGCAAAAGGACAGTTCTCCCTTCTATCTTCTTAGTACAGTTAGATTTGTAATGGAAAGTAACCTCTGTCCTAAATACATTTGCCCCTTATTCTTCAAGTAATGGTTTCCTTTTATTTGTTTATCTTGTTTCAGGATACACAGAACTTGAAGAGCCGGATTCAAAAGCAGCAAGTCTTTCAAGAAGAATTGGAAGCTAATAAAATCCTACTCAATAACCTAGAGAAAACTGGCCAGGAGATGACTGAGCGTGGTCACTATGCCTCTGATGGTGTGGCTGCTCTTGTGAGTGAAGTGAAACGCCTCTGGGAGGAATTGCTGGAGGCTACAGCGCAGAGAGGTTAGAAGCAGAGTTTTTGTTGAAAGGCTAATTCCTAAATTCTGAAACCTACCAGTCTTGTCTTTACCACCTTGAATTTACCTGGTGATTTCAATGAGAAGACATGCTTCCCTGTGTTTTCTTTATTGGTCAACAATTTAAAAAAATGCAACCTAAATTCATCACACTATATATTTTTACAATTTTATATTTTCTTTATGTATGTAGATTTTTAAAACTGAAACTGTTTGATTTCTTCCATTTTTTTCACTTTTAAATTTTTTTTCTTGAATAAATACTCAGGAACCATGAATTCTGTATTAACTATGCACCTAAAACTAGTGTCCTTAAGTTAGATTTACATATTTTGGTTCTATAAATAAGATAAGATATTATGACTCACGTTAGTAAATTAAACATTAAAGGATCATTGGTGCCACATGTGAAGGTCCTACAGCATTTCATTCTTATAAATAGGGCTTGATGACTTAGTATGTTTTTTACCTATCTTAAAGTGTTCAGGCTCTGCTGTAAGCTCTTTAAAAAAAATTGTTACCACAAAGTAAGGGGGGAGGGAGGTGGTAGATAAGGTTAAATGGGTTCAAATATATGGTGATGGAAGGAGAACTGACTCTGGGTGGTGAATACACAAAGTGATATATAGATGATGTATTACAGAATTATACACTTGAAACCTATGTAACTTTACTAACCATGGTCACCCTAATAAGCTTTAATTAAAAAAAGAAAACTCTAAAATAGAAAAAAATTCCCACATATCTACTTGAATGTCTCTATTAACAGTTAACCTCACCTCTTACTGGGGACAATTAATCAATTATCATAATTCACACAAATACTGAGGTTCTCTTGTTAATATAATATTCTCCTTATTATAGACATAATGTTTCCCTGGTTATAGAAGAGATATATCATATTGATTTTGTTGGATGTCATTCTAAGTTTTAGTTTAGTAAAAAAAATCCAACTTGACTGTAACAATAAGAAATCACTTCTACTCCCCACCATGAGCTACAGTAATTGTTTTACAGAAATAATGCAAATAATTTCTATAAAGAGTTTATGTGAGAACAGTATGCACAATGAAGACATTTTCTGGAAGAGAAAATTGTGAGGCATGGTTTGTGATGAGGAACAGCCCTAAGAGAAGGGCTAACAAAGTTCTGAGAAAGACATTTACAAAAAGACACTTCAAATTTTCAAACTGAGCCAACCCCAAGTTTTATACTTCTCTTGAAAAGTGCCGTATTTGGGTTTGAATCCCTTTGGAAAGGAAGTCTCAATAGAAATCAAGAAATGACATGTGAAAATACCTAAGCTGTTTAAAATCTAACACATTCGCTTAGCCTAATCTCAAGATCCATCCATGTTTCTGAAAATGGCATTATTTCATATTTTCTTCAGGCAGAGTAGTAGCCCCATTGTGTATATATACCACATCTTCCTTATCCAATCATCTATTGAAGGACACTTTGGTTGTTTCCATGTCTTGACCACCATAAATAAAGCTGCAATGAACATCAGAGCACATATATCTCTATGGATAAATGTTCTCAGGTTTTTTTGGTATATACCCAGGAGAGAGATTGCTGGGTCATATGGTAATTCTATCCATAATTTTTTGAGGAACCTCCACACTGCCTTCCATAGTGGCTGCACCAATCTGTATTACCTACCACCAACAGCATATGAGGGTTCCTTTTTCTTCACAGCCTCTCCAACACTTGCTATTATTTGTCTTGTTGATAATAGCCATTCTAATAGGTGTGAGGTGATATCTCATTGTGGTTTTATTTACATTTCTCTGATGATTAGTGATGCTGACCATGTTTTCATATGTCTATTGGCCATCTGTATGTCCTCTTTGGAGAAATGCCACCCCAATATATATATATATATATAATTTCAGGCAATTAGGTTTGTGAACTTCCTACCATGTAAGGGCACAGTGAAAAGTTCGCAAACTTAATTGTCCATCCTCATATTTCAGACTAAAAAAAGAAATCTAATACATTCACTGGGGAATGAACTTATTGTTTATCTTTGTTTTGAGAATATTACTGTATTCAAAAGCAAATACCACTAAATTCTACAAATTTGAGGTGATTTTTTTGTATAATCACATGTGATACAGTTGTATTTTCCCCAACGGGATTATCAAATTACTATATTGCTCTTTAAGTTGACGGAAGGTTTGTTACTGGGTAATGAGGAGCAATTATGGTACCTGTCTTATACTTATGTCTTCTCCCAGGGACCCAGTTGCATGAAGCTAACCAGCAGCTGCAATTTGAAAATAATGCAGAAGACCTGAAGCGCTGGCTAGAAGAAGTGGAGTGGCAAACTACCTCTGAGGATTATGGGAAAGGCCTGGCTGACGTACAGAATCTACTCAGAAAACATGGCCTTTTGGAGTCTAGTGTGGCTGCTCGTCAGGTTTGTTCCTAGCTCTTTGACCAGTTATAGGCCAACACACCTATATATGCTCTGAGAAAACTCATCATTCATAATTATTATTAAAAGAGGAAGAGATCAAGAAACTAAAGGTAAAAATTTAAAAGTTTTAGTTGGAAAACAGCCTCTTCCCAATATTTCCTCTAAACCAGCCATGTTCCTGGTTGCCTGGAAAATGCAGAACACCATAGCTGATATAAGACTTTATTTACTCTTCTAAATATAACACTGTACTCTTAATCCAGAAGGCTGGGTTTTATATATAGCCTGTCATTTACTATTATGTGATTTTTGGTATGTATTTTCACCTTTTCTCACCTCTATGTCCTCACCTATAAAATAAGTCTTTGGATAAAATTGCCTCTTTCTGTTCTGGCATTCTGCAAGTCAAAGCTTGAACATATCTTTAATCCTACCAATTTTTTTAGTTTAAAAAAATTGACATCTATACAAGTAAAGTGACTTCACAGAGAAAACTAACACCAGAGCCAGGTTTATGGTGCAGATGTCTAGGCTCTTAGCTTCAGGGTTATCCCCCTGGCAACCTGCCAGACTGTTATTTAAAATAAATTCACCTAGTAAGTTTCTAGGGGATAGATATTGTATGTGAGTTTCTGGAAAACTCAGTAGAAATCCACTTCCAGTTGACTCAATTTTTCAACCCTAGGAATCCTATCTTGTGTTTAAAAAATAAGTCTTCTATTTCCTAGAATCTAATCTGTCTAGTTTAAATGCACTTTCATAATTTCTGCTTTTTGGTCACTTTGGGTGTAATAAGAAAAATAAAATAATCTACAAAAGACAAATAAAATAAACCCATTCACTTATACAGCTCTAAAGATGGTGTGATGGAACTTGAAATAATATAAAATGCTAAAGGTAGGAAAACTAAAACTGTATAAAGACAGCTTTGAAATCTACATGAAGGAAGAGAGTTTGGATCAGATTTTCAAAGGAGGGAAAAAAATAATTTTGGTAAAATGTAAATAAAAACATACAAAGAAGAGGAAGGGCATGTATAAATACATAATAAATATAATAAGTACGTGACCTTATTTAAAAAAGCTAGGGTACCCAACCACCAGGAATTTGTTCTCCTACATGAGATAGAGGCTAAGATATAATGCTTACAAAAGATATGGATTATTAAAGTTGAAAAAGATCTTAAATGCCCTCTAGCCCAAAATGTTTACTATATAAATAAGGAAACTAAAATTAAAACAGGTAAAAGAGCTTCCCCAAGATAAAATGTCAATTGACTGGCAGCCAAGAATAGAAGCCAAGTCTTCTATCTTCCCAGGCTGGGGCATCTTGCACAACATTAGAGGTTTTCAGATGGTACAGTGCATCCATAATGATGATGATAATTATGATATTTTAAAAACCACTCTGCTACACTATGACGTTACCCAAGGTCAAAGTTAATTAATTGATTAATTAATCCTAAGAGATGAGAACGGTTGGCTAGTGAAAGGTATTAATTTTAATTCTTTATGGAGACTTTATTTTCTTATTAAATTAGAGAAGTGAGTATATGTTTTAAGAAGCTATTAATAGTTAACGGTTTGCTCCAAATTGAGAAGAGATAGATCAAACACTTTAGAGGTTGAGAATTGGATATCAAAATAGAATAAGTAAAACCAATGCCTACTGTTCATCTACCTCTTGAAGAACTTCTTTTATGTACCACCTCTCTCCATCTCAACAAAAAGACAAAACAAACAAACAAAAATCCTGTGTAGTGTTCTTCTGCCAGGCCACTTACAGTTGACTTCACTAATAAAGATGGAATGCATCTCTTGTATCTGTTTTAGTATAGGAATACAATTAAAATTTTATTTCCGGGAAGATCTTTTGAAACCCTATTTCTGTATTCTTCCTTTCTCAGATACATTCCAAATGAGGACTGTGATTTATTCCAGTTCACACAACTGGGTGCTGACCATGGCAGTGCCTTTGCATTTCTTTCTGAGCTTCTGACACTTGATTTGTAACATCATATTTCATCTCATAGGCATTGTTCCTACTATGCAACAAACTTAAGCCTCAGAAGTTTCTATGTTATTTACAATTATACCTCAGTTTAGAAGGAGAGAAAGAGAATAAAAGGGGAATAGAGATTGAAAAAGCCCCCTTCCCTCCATTTTCCTCAGGGCCACAGCTTATCAACAATTAAAGCTCTGTAGTTCTGGTTTCTCTGATTTCCTTGGCACACTCTTTAAATAGGTTGTCTTTTCTGAAATATGGTTTGAAAAGTATTTTCTTGTAAATTGCTCTCTTAGCTTGATGAAACGGTCGATGTAGTAACCCCTCTCTATTTCATTGATTTGATTAGAAGTCCCAACAGTGCACATGGGAGCTGATTCTCTCCATGGCCTCCCCACACCAAACTCCCGTTCCTTTCTACTAAACGATGGAATTTCCTGACACCCATTCAACTTCTCTCGCAGGATCAGGTAGACACCCTCACAGACTTGGCGACATATTTTGAAGAAACAGGACATCCTGATGCTGGGGAAATACGTGCAAGGCAGGAGAACCTGGTGTCCCGGTTTGAAGCCCTGAAAGAACCGCTGGCTACCCGGAAGAAGAAGCTCATTGACCTTCGCGACCTGCACCGGATTTGCAGAGACACAGAGGACGAGGAAGCCTGGATCCAAGAGACTGCGCCTTCAGCAGCTTCCACCTACCTTGGTTAGTAAAGCCCGGGCAAGCAGAGCCATAAGGCGTTCCCCAAGGTCTACACATTTTTGGACCGATTTGGGATACAGTAGTGAAGTTTGGGCTCAGCTCTTTTCACTCTGACTCATGAAAATGTTTCCAATCTTCCACAAGAATATTTTTTTTAAAAATGCATACTTAAAAGTTTACTTCCTAAAACCAGACATGAACAGTGCCATGAATTTAAGGCCTCTGGCAGGAGCTAAAATACTCACCTCTTTGTACTTGCTTTAACTTAAGTGATTGCCAGGGTCCTTGGCTGAGCAGCCATGGTTAGTGTTTGAGGTACCAAGTGTTTTTGTCTATATTGTCAGGGGCTCCCTTTGATAACTAGA